TGGTGCAAGCAGATTAAGGTGATTTTTTGTTATCAAGATCTTTGGGATCTTGTGAAGGACAAAGTAACATCACTTAGGGAGAACGCAACAGAGGCGGAAAAGGCTGCGCACAAAGAATTGAAGAAGAAGGATTATAAAGCACTCTTTATAATTCATCAGTGTGTTGATCCTGATAACTTTGAAAAGGTTAGTGATGTTGATTCAGCAAAAGAAGCATGGGAGATTCTTGAAAAGTCGTTTGGAGGCGCAGAGAAGGTGAAAGAGGTGAGGTTACAAACTCACAAGAGAACTTATGAGTTGCTTCAGGAAGACAACGAAAGCATTACAGATTTCTTCACCAGAGTTATAAAGTTGGTGAATCAAATCAAAGTATGTGGAGAAGCGCTAACGACGAAAGCAGTTGTCTCAAAAATCTTGAGATTGTTGGCTCCAAAATTCGACCACGTGGTAGTTGCCATAGAAGATTCGAAAAATCTATCAGTGTTGACGAAGGAAGAGCTTCAAGGGACTCTTGAGTCTCATGAACAGAGGATGACTGAGAGAGCTGCAGGAAAGTCAAAAGATATGGCTTTGCAGGCGCAGACGAAAAAGGAAAGAAAAGGAAAAAGTAGCTGGAATGGCAATAAAGGAGGAAAACAATCGAATAAGAAGAAACCTTGGAACCAAGGCAACCAAAGAAGTGGTGCTGCAGGTAAAGGAAGAGGTGGTGGTCGAAAGCCAGACAAAAGCCACATTCAGTGTTTCAATTGCCAGAAGTATGGTCATTATGCTAGTGATTGTCCAGAAAGGAAGAGAAATCAAGAGACTGATGCAAAGCTGGCGAAACATGAAGAAGAAGAAACGTTGCTAATGGTCACAACAAAAGATGAAGAAAGATTCCAAGATCAGTGGTACTTGGACTCAGGATGCTCATCACACATGACTGGAAGGAAAGATTGGTTTGTCAACATGAAGCCCTCGTCGAAGAACAAAGTGAAGTTTGCAAATGACAACACTCTAGCAGCCGAAGGTGTTGGTGATGTTCTGATTATGAGGAAAGATGGAAAAAGGTCAACAATTTCCAATGTGTTGTACATACCAGGCATGAAGAGTAATTTGCTCACTATAGGGCAGCTTGTCGAAAAGAACTATAAAGTAGTTGTCGAAGACAAGATGATGAGAGTTCTCGACGCATGTGGTAGATTAATCTTGAAGGCTCCAATGTCTCACAATAGGACCTTCAAGATTGGACTCAATGTGATGGAGCACAAATGTCTAGCAACTGCAGCCAGCAGAGATGAATGGTTATGGCATTTCCGACTAGGTCATATCAACTTTAATGACATCAGAGAACTGAAGAGAAGAAATATGGTTTCAGGATTACCAGAAATCGAAATTCCAAGTGAAGTCTGTGAGGAGTGTGTTCAGTCGAAACAACATAAGAATAGCTTCAGCAAGGATGCAGGAAGGAAGTCGAAGTCAATACTTGAAGTCATATACTTTGATGTATGTGGTCCAATCCAGGTGGATTCGATTGGTGGCAATAGATACTTTGTCATGTTTATAGATGATTACAGTCGAAAGCTGTGGACTTACCTCATCAAGAAGAAAAGTGATGTGATTGAGGTATTTTTCAGATTCAAGTCTATGGTCGAAAGACAGAGTGACCGAAAGCTGAAAATTCTGAGGACTGATGGTGGTGGAGAGTATGTGTCGAAAGAGTTTGATACACTATGTGTAAAAGAAGGGATTATGCATGAGGTGGTGTCGCCTTACACTCCATAGCAAAATGGGATTGCAGAACGCAAGAACAGAACCATCATGAATATGGTGAGAAGTATGTTGAATGGAAAGCATCTACCTAAAGAATTATGGGGAGAAGCAGTTTCGACAACAACATATATATTGAACAGATGTCCGACGAAGAAGCTTGAAGGAATCACACTAGAAGAATGTTGGTCTGGTGTCAAGCCTAGTCTCAGTCACTTGAAGGTGTTTGGATCTATAGCACATAGACATGTGCCAGATCAGTTGAGAAGGAAGCTTGATGATAAGTCGAATCAAATGATCTTGATAGGATATCATTCGACAGGAGGTTACAAACTGTTCGACCCAGTGAATAAGCAGGTAGTGATCAGCAAGGACGTGATCATAGATGAGCTTAAAGAATGGGATTGGACTGAGAATGCCAAGAAGGATTCAGTGATAATCTCTTGTGAAGAACCAGCCACTGAGGTCGAAATAGAAGTTCGACAAGAACCAGTTGTAGATGAAGCAGGTTCAAGCAGACCTCGACGAACAAGACACATGCCTGCAAGGTTGCAAGAATGTGTAATTACATCAGATGATGTAGTCGATGAAGAGGGTGAGCTGGTACACTATGCGTTTTACGCAGATGTCGAACCAGTCAATGCAGCTGAGGCATTGAAAGATTCGAAGTGGATGAAAGCAATGATTGAAGAGTTGGAGTCCATCGAAGTCAATGATACCTGGTCACTTGTCGAATTGCCGCAAGGCAAGAAGGCAATTGATGTGAATTGGGTTTACAAGGTGAAGGTAAATCCTAAAGGATAAGTAACTCGACACAAGGCGAGACTTGTGGCCAAAGGATTTCTTAAGAAGGAAGGAATCGACTTCGATGAAGTATTCGCACCTGTTGCCAGAATCGAAACAATCAGGTTGGTTATTGGTATAGCAAATATGAATAACTGGCACACATGTCAGATGGACGTGAAGTGTGCATTCCTTAATGGCCCCTTAGACGAAGAAGTTTATGTTGCACAACCAGCTGGGTTTGTGAAACAAGGCGAAGAAATCACAGGGAAGAATCATGGAGCAATTACCATGAAGATAGACAGCATGTCAGCTATCGACTTGGAGAAGAATCCAATATCTCATGGTCGAAGCAAGCACATCGAAATGAGGTTCCATTATCTTCGAGAGCAGGTAGCAGAAGGGAAGATGAAGTTGGAACACTGCAAAACTGAGAATCAGATTGCAGATATCATGACGAAGGGAGTGCAGGTCGAAGTCTTCAGAAGACTAAGAGCCATGATGAATGTAGACAGTTTAGACATAATGAATTAGGTGGTGTGTTAAATGTAATTCATTGTTTTGATTTGATTTGATATGATTAGATTTGATTTGAATATTTTGGGCCTTTTATGTTTTGGGATTTTGTAAACCTAAAACTATAAATAGGGTGCCTTGCTTTGTATTCAATCACAACATAGAACAGATTTCACAGTTACAGTGTTTAGCAAGTGAAAGTTCTATAAGCAATAAGAAATCCCATAGTTGTGGGTAACACATTCTCTCCAAATATTTTCTTCTCTCATTCTTCTCTTTCTTGTGTGTTCTTCATTTCTTTTGTTGTTCTTGATAATTACTTATTATTACCATTACTATCATATTATGGGTTTGTTCATCAATCTTGAGATCAAGATTGAAGGGAATTCTTCATAGGGTGTGAGGTGAATTTCCAACATAAAGAACTATTTCATGGTCTATCGAACTATTAGAATATGACATCCACTTCTTACCTAAAGGCAGCATAAAGTCTCTAGATTTCGCCTATAAACTGTTAAGGGTCGGCTACCACTGATCAACCATGATGAACAATGGTGCAAAATTTGTTAGGAAATGCGATAAAGTGTTATAAAAATTCCAACCTTCATCACGCCTTAGTAGAAATTCTACATTCTTACATTCTCGTAGCCTTTCCATCAATGAGGCCTTGACATCTTAGGTCGTTTCCCATTGGCACTAGGTTAACTAATGTTCTTACTATAAGTAAACTATTTTACAAAGTGGATTTAGGTAGATGTGGTGTTCAGAATCACGACGGAGAGAGCACGAAGTTTCTAATAAAAGGAAATCATTTGTTGTTTCGGTTTTCCAAGAAGTATAATCTCAGACAACAACACACAATTCACATGCTTAACCATGGTGGAGTTTTGCTACCACATTGGAATCTAAAACGAAATTCATCTCAATAGTACAACCACAAGCCAACAAACTGGCCAAATCAACCAACAAAGTGATCATTTATGTAATAAAGAAAAAGTTGAATAAAGTATAGAGATTATGTGCATAACAACTACACGGGATATATTCATTCTCGTTTGTTTCATTTGATTAAATATTTCTTGTCTAGGGCATGTACTATCGTACTAAAATACAATTTCTGAAAAGGTTTTGTGGTTGTATCATCCGATACCTCATTCCACCATTAAGAAAACACCTTTCAAGATAGTTTATAGGACAAATGTCATGTTGCCAATTGAGATTGATATGTCTACATGGTGGCATGAGCATGGGCATCAGAATGTGTGCAGATACCTCTCTCCTTTCTTCTAAAATGACTCAGGACAAATAAGAGGCCGTTTTTCGAGACACTAAGAACTTGACCATTGTGCGAAGAAGCTTCCTTACTGAAAAAACATGAAGTTTCTGATCTGTCATCTTGTGTTCTTCTGATTATTTTTTAAAAAATTGATTATCATTATTATTTTTAAAACAGATTTTTGAAGCCAATTTTTTTAAAAAAATATTAAACCACAAATGGTTTAAAAGAATTTGAATTTGAATATCGGGCTAATACAGCAAAAATAGAGATGTGAAATGACATATATACCCTTTATTGAGGGAAAAAATAGCAATCTTACTCCTTTTAATTAATTACCACATAAACTATTATCCTTCTTGGACATTCTAAAGTTTAAAGCATTAGGACTATATATGCAGACATAGCTTATTTGAATCAATTAAAATACACAAGCATAAAATAATAACTCTATTCTAACATGTGATACTAAGACTAGAGAATCAATCCTACAAACTCAACTAAAAATGTTTAACTGTAAACAAACTATCCCAACTAACTTACCAAAAACAGTTACACTTGAAAACCTCAACAAACCACCCTATCATATCTCTTATTTATAAACAACCCTTCCCTCCTTTTTTCAATCCTCTTTGCCACTCACTCACATTCACTTTGCAACCAAAAATTCACAACAATGAGTGATTTGCAGATTGAAAAAACTCAACAAGAACCTACATTGATGCAAAACTCTCCAATCTCTCACAAACAACAACAACAACAATCCATTTTTATTCCATTATCATCGTCAATAATGGTTGATCTTGATCATCAAACTCACAACAAACGCCGTTCCCCTCCGTCTTCTTCCTCCACGGAACCCTCATCCAAGAAACATTCTTTCAACCAAGAGGAGTTCAGTCTCACCCGTAATGGCTTCTCAGCCAATGCTCTTCCAATCACTGTCTGCGGCAATTTTCTTCGCCACTGCGTCTCCGGTCCATGCACCTTACATGAGCAATCCCCTACTGGCTTGCCACCTCTTCCCTCGGAGAATCTCAGGAGATGCAAGTCTGATGTCATTCCTTCTAAGGTTAAAACAGTTGCGCCTTGTTTGAACTCTGAAGAAAATGTCCCTGATGATTCAATGGTACGTAGTGGCCAGTGGGATTATTGTGAAACTTGCGTTTCTTTATAAAAAAATTAATCTTTTTTTGATTTGGAATCATGGGTTTTCTTTGTTTTCATGTATATTTTCGTGGGGTGTTTGATTGCAGAGGCTTAAGAGGATGAAGGAACGGTTAACAGAAATGAAACAGTGGTGGGATGAAGTTATCAAAGAAGATGAAAAAGAACAGGAAGAACAAGAAAAAGTAGAAGAAGACTCTCTTGTTGCTGAAGATGACAAAGTCCTATCTCAGGTGATCTTCCTTCTTCAGTTTCAATTTCAATGCAGCCATTGCACAGCTAAAACTGCAGTTGCATATGGCTTATGTAGTACGACATCTCTGAAATAAGTGTTTCATGGTCAGTATTTGTATCCGAAAATGAGACCGACACTCGTGATCACGTATAATTTACTCTTGTTTTCAAATTATTATGATCAGTATCAGTGTCGTGTTTCGGTTTCCGTGCTTCATATATTATATATTATAGACAAAATATTGTTTCATGCTGAATAAATCTATTTTTGGTTTTGTAGGATGAGTTGGGAAAATATGATGAAGAAGCGATTAGTGTAGAGTGGATTGAAAAGAGTTTAAACCTTACTTTTAAGTGTCCATGTGGGAAGGGATATGAGGTTCAAATATGTGGAAACAATTGCTACTACAAGTTGGTTTAGAAGAATTAGTATGTATGATTGATTTTCTCTTAATTTGAGGATCACTTTTGTTTTCATTTGTAGTAGCATTTGGTTGTCACTAGAATCAATTTATCTTTGAAGTATTTTTGTACCATATATCAGTGTACTAATGTATCCAAAATAGTTTCATGAATGAATTGGTTCAATGCCTTTACACAGTTGACATATTTCATGTTTATCAACCTAGTTTCATGAAAACTCCAAGTTTTGAAGAACTCTTGTTTCATTGGTTTCATTTGTCACATAATTATCAAGATAGCTAGGCCTTCTTATTTTTCTCCTTACAAATTCTACATCTCTCTTTATTACTTCCTTCTGAGTCAGAATTTGTAATGCTTGTTTTTTATTGATCTTCAGTTCTATACTGATCTTCAATATTAGTTTGATCTTTCATTTTCAATTCAGACTCATTTTCATCTTCATTGTGGTTATGTTAATATAGAAAATTTAGCTAAAGAAAATTAAGAAAGAATGATAATAACTACGGTAAAAATTTTAGCGTCAAGGATCTCAACCAAAAGCTTCAATACACTAACTACGTCGACTAAGATGTTTTCGACTAACTTGTCAGATGAGTCGAGAAAAATATTGGTTTGGAAAAGTCTAAGAAAACAGAACCACAATATTAAGACCACTCTCTCTTCGAAACATGTTCAGAATTTTGAAAAATTTTCACAAATCAAATCTTCAACTAGTATCGAAGTCAACACGTCTAACAGGTGTTAGGGACCTGTGATATTTTTAAGTTCAAAGACTATGTGATATGAAGATGTCTCAGCATTATGGGAGTTGATCAAAGACTTTCGATAGAGACAGTTAAGAGGTTCAAAGCAGTTATTAACATAATTATCATTATGATGATTGATTTTTTCAACAGTTTTTTTTTAATCTTTGTAGACCAAGACACGTGGAAGCACGTCAGAGTATGAGAACACACATATTATAGTACATGTTGAGCATTTAAGAAGTAATAGTTGTCGACGATTATCAATGTAATATTATATAAACAGACTTCTTGTATAGAATTAGGGGTCGCAATTCTCATCATAAATTCCTATAGAAATCAAAGTACCTGAGTTACATAGAGAAACAAGTTTGAGAAAAATATGTATGAATTTGCACATTGTTTATTTGAAGTCTTTTCAATTACAACAATTATTTTATAACATTTCTTGTTGTTTTTGTTTATCATCTTTATCCAAAACTTAGTGCAATTAGTATTTATCTTCAATTCGTTAGCATTCAAATATTAACTTTTAATCACACACTTTTTTCTTTGCATTTTAGATTTTTTGAATTAATCTTTTCAATGAACTATACTCGTGATTATTTATTAAATTTACCTAAATAGGTTACTTGTATCCTAGAAAACTTTTTTTTTTTTTTTTGTCATTTTCATTAAAAATTTCAGCTTGTTACTTCATTTTTCTTCCGCACCTATTTTTTGGTTTCATCAAACAACACATATCTAAATATAAATATATTTTTCTTGATCGGATCATATAATTTTGTATGTCTTTATGTCTTCATTTAGGCCAAAAAGAATGTCTATTGTATCTTTATCATCAAGTTTTCTTCTCAAGTTATCAAACACATATGAAAATTTTACATCAGTGGGATATCTCTTGCTACAAAAGTCGGACATCTATTCACAACATAAACTAACCATTAGACTTCTTTAGGCTAGGATTTTTTTTTATATTCTTTTCACTATGCATGCATTTAACCACGTTGAATATAGTTTTTTTTCTTTTAGATACTCAACTTTGTTAAGGAGTATAGAGAGCAATGAGTTTTCTCCTAAACTCGTATGTTGTCAGAAGCATTTATCATTTTCTGCATGTAGCTTGAAAAGACAAGTCTTTTCAAGATCCATCACACGATTCGAGGGAATGACGTGTCTATTCCTTCCACTCCCGCATTGTATCGCGAGCACGTCCTCGGAGAAAAGTTTAAAGCAAGTTACGTTGTCGAGCATAGATGACGACCTTGGCCCCCTCGCAAGCACATGGCCTCGAGATAAACGCGGAGCTTAATCTTGTCGTCAAGCACACATGGATCTCCCAGGCAGCAGCTTTGAAAAACCTCGTACATGACCGCTCTGTCGGGCACAATTAGTGACTTCCACACTTCCTCGCGATCGTAGCTCTGCGAGCTTATAGCCACGAATCCGAACAAAGGCTCTCCTCACGCGAACTTCTTTCATCCCTCTTCGACACGTGAACTGACTCTAAGTCATTACTCCCTTAATTGAGAGCAACGACTTAGAGGGCTCCTGTTCTGGACTAGGCCTGAGGCTAACCCACCGTTGGGCATAGTCCAGTCCAGATTCGCGTCGAGGAGGGCCCAATACAAGCCCAATCCTCTATAGCCGTTTGAGGCCACGTTCTCCACGTGCTCCTCACGCGGGAACACGTCACCAACTAAACCCACGTCCTTGAGAACAAGTCATCCACTTCCCAGAGTTCGCGGGGCAGTTTAACCAGGACGAAGAACAGTTGCTGGTCTTCCCTACTTCCACGTAGGATCCTGGCAGTCATCAGTTGTGGGCCTTACGGTCCAGCCCACAACAGATGATCGTTGGTCCAGCGCTAGGGGCACATTATAAATACCCTCCTCCATTAGAGGGCCAGGTATTCTAAATTCCTTCACTCTGTACTTGCTCTTCTCTCTCATCTGAATCTAACTTTGACATCAGAGTGCCTTGCAGGTACACCTCCCTCCTCTTCTCCATCACCGGCGAATTTGGAGCTCACGACGTGTTGGTGGCCGCTGATTGAACGTCTGATCCCTATATGATCAAAATCAAATAGGAATTTTCAAGAAGTGATTTCATCAAATGATATTGGTGACCTTGGTCGAATTTCCAAGCAGTTAGTTAAAGACTATGGATTTGCTTGTTTTTGGACTTAGTGAAATTCCGATTTTCAAAAGGATGTAACTCCACGCGGTCGAACGAGTATAAGCAGATAAGATCAAACATTTATTCCAGAACACGTAGAAGTCTGTTGGGAATGAAGATTGCATGTTGACGAAGACGTGGCGTAATTTACCGAGTTTGCAGACGGTTATGTTAGGACTAGTATATAAATAGTGTTCACTTGTAATTTTAGGGGTCCGCAATTTTACACAAATTCAACAAACTCGAAATATTCAAGTGTTTAATGAGAAAAGAGTGGTATGGAAATGTATGTATTTGCTTTCCACTTTATAACTTAAATTCTTTACTTTTTAAGTCATTTACTACATTGAAAGTTACTTTCAAGTTTCTTTTAATTTCGACTTTAATGTTAAATATGTTTTAAATTTATACCTTTTTTTTTCCGAGATGTCTTGAGTAGTTAGAGTACACTAGATATAACAAAAGAGGTCGTGAAAGCTTAGCAAAGGAGTGACTCAAATGTTCTCTACAAAATATTGCACATCTTTTCATGTTCATATCTTAGTTTAGCACAATTTACCACTTTGCATTTTATTTATCATTATAATATTGGAAGTTATTCACATTTCACAAGTTGTGTCCCTTGGATAAAGTTATACGTACTAGTGCTAAAATAGCACACATTTCTCTGAATAGTTTGTATTTGAGTTTTGATTAAAAAGCAGTGTACCAGTGCATATTAGATTAAGATGCTCACCATGATCATTGTACATTGTTCTTATCGAGTTGCTTTATCACACTTTTACCATAAATAAGAAAGGTCTATTAAGTTTCTAAAACAACATCATAGTTGTCAAAAAGATTTTTCAGCACTTTGAGTAGTAGAAGCTGCCAATAGAAAAAGATGCCAACTCATGTGAAATTATATATATATTTTTTATTTCTTTTAGCATTCAAACATGTATTTTTTTCAATACATTGTTGGTACAATTTGTTTTGTATATGTTAGGGAACTTTTTATATAATTGTCACCCATATTTAATTAAATAATTATTGTCTTTTTTATATTAAAAAGAATAAAGTTTAAATAATATCTTTCTTTTGATAACGTGTTTTTTATTTTAAGTAATATTTTATAAACATAAAGAAAAGAGAAAAATCAATCGAATTTCAATTGATGTATAAGTAAAAAAAGTCAAATTAAATATTATTATTTTCTACAATGTTATATATTATATTTTAAAATTTTACTTTGATATGAAGTTATTATAATTTAATTTTAATAAAAAAAGTGAAAATTGTTATTGTCATAAATAATAAGAATATTTTAATAATCATTTTACAATTGTTTTTGTTTTATAGAATTTAAATTATATCACTTAAAATTATAAAAACAAAATTTTAATATGTATTTATCTTATAGCTTTTTTTTTTGACAAAACTATTGTTTTAGTCCTTTAAGTTATTTTAAAATATCAAATTAGTCTTTTAAGTTTTTTTAATGCTTTGCTCCCTTTTTAAAAATCTCAGTTATAATAAATTGCAAACTCATATACTGTTTGAACTAATTTTTCGCGCTGATCACGAATATGCAATCAAATTTATCAAACTAGTTACGGTTTATGAGAATCAGATAAAAATGGACGAAATACATAATGAAAAATCAACGATCCGACCAAAATACACAATCAAACACAAAACTAATTACATATTCGTGATCAGCGCAAAAAATCAGTTCAAATGGTATATGAGTTTCTAATTTATTGTAACGAGGATTTTTAAAAAAGGACCAAAGCGTTACAAAAAAAAACTTAAGGGACTAACTTGATATTTTAAAATAACTTAAAGGATTTAGACAATAGTTTTGCCATTTTTTTATTGTATAATAAAAACCACTCATCTCTTATGTTTAATGGAGAAAATAGATCACTGCAGGTCAGACTTTAGAAGGTCAGAGTCTACTTTTTGATAAATTTAAAAGATCTAAGTTTGATCTAAGGTTTATTATAGACTTTTTTGTCTGACCTGCACTTTTTAAAAGTTTGGCCTGGTCTAAAAACATATTTACAAGCATGTTTCACATTAGAGAATTTCTTAATCCACCACTTGATACTCTTAGGCACTTAGCGCATTTTCTTTTATGCCCCCTGCCTCCGGAGATACATATCTGGGAACACTTTTTTTTTGCCAAAATTTGGTTTTTTCCGGAGCTACATCTAAGGAATAATTTTAAACTGCTAAATGTTGGGAAAAACTTTAAAATAATTCAGTTCAGGGAAACTTCCGTAGATGCACTTTCGGAACGTCTAAGCTCCAGATTGTTTCGTAGATACAACTCTAGAAGTTTCTGCTATATTTGAAACCTACATGATTACTCCCCCATTGTTGTGTTTTCTTCTTCCACACTCACCTTCACCAATCTAAAAAGCCCTACATTCTCAATATCATTTTACACTAAAAAACTTCAACTTTTTCGTGCAACAAATCAAAGAGAGGAAGAAAAGATCGAACTTCAAGTAAAGATTTCACTTTGTCCACTACATTGCTCACATTAATCATCAAACTTTTGAAGAAAAAAAGTAAGGTTGCTTCCAGAGTTGTACCTCCAAAACATGTTAAAGATGAACACTTTCGGATGTACATCTCCGGAACGTGTCTGTGACCTGTTTTTGTACAACAAATTTGTAATTTTTTTATTTTTCTTATTATTTCCAAATAGATATGGTGCACCCTGATAATATCTCAAAAGAATTAGTTTCTAAAAACGATGTTTATTCGAATGTTCAAGGGGTTGTTGTAAAGTCGATAGATGTCGGCGTTGACTTTAATAACAAGTAATAGTTTGATGATTGTGATAGCATGCTCACATGGATTTGTAGGACTGCAACTAGACTTGGTTTTGGTATGGTTATAGGAAGATCAGATAATGGTTCGAAAAGAAGAAACACGTTTGTAACTTTATTGTGCGAAAGAAGTGGGAAATATCAGACTCTTTTACAGAAGGTTAAAAGAGACGACACTGGTAGTAAAAAATGTGAATGTCCTTTTAAGATTCGTGGTTATATGTTGTGTATCAAAAAGTGGAAATTTAGTGTTACTTGTGGTTTGCATAACCATGAATTGTGCTTAAAGTTACAAGTTCATCCTAGTGTATGTCGACTCAAGCCAGAAGAGAAGACATGTATTAGTGACATGACCTTGAATCTTGTCCAACCGAAAAATATACTTGCCACATTGAAACGAAAGGAACCCAATAATATATTAAATATAATGCAAGTGTATAACATTCGGTACCGCACCAACAAGGTGATTAGGGGAGATAGAAGTGAGATGCAACAACTGTTGAAATTGTTGGATGATAACAGTTACGTGTCCCGGTACAGAACTTGCGACGATGGAGTTACGAGCCGAGATATTTTTTGGACTCATCTGGATTTGATAAAGTTTTTCAACACGTTCTCGATAATGCTCATTCTTGATTCTACCTATAAGAACAACAAGTATAAACTTCCTTTATTTGAGATGGTTGATGTTACGTCTATCGAGAAGACATATGTCGTTGGTTTTTCTTTTCTGGAGTGTAAAAAATAGGACAATTTTACATGGGCATTAGAGGTATGTTGGTCCCTTTTGAAGGACCAAGTTGAGATGCCTAAAGCGATTGTTACTGACTGCGATACCGTGTTGATGAATGCGGTTACAAAGGTATTTCCTACTTCTAATTTATTACTTTATCGATATCACATAACAAACAATGTGAGAAGTCGGGTTAAACCCACGGTGGAGGCAAAACAAGTAGAGTCCGAAGGTGAAAAATTGGTGAAGGCTGGTGTGATTGTTGAAAAAATAGTGGATGCACGGAAAGGAAGAATCGTACACGCATAAAGAATCATACACGTGGTTGAAGACGCGTAAAGAATCGTACACGTGGTTGTATGGAAAGAAAGAAAAATTTGATGTAGTTTATGAATCTATTATTCCTTGCTTGAGCGGTTCGGCACCGGTGTCGAAATGGATGACCTTCCTTGATATGGGTCATCTTATTGCATGTGCATATGATAAGGTGTGCATTGACTTGACGCGATACGGGTTTTTGGAAACCTTTTTTCTACTCCGCACTACACCACCTCAAAATCCAAATGATCGTATCATGTGTATTGGATGGCTTGCAAAATCAAGATATTTTGTACAAGTTTACTTGAAAATGGGATGCCCCATACCACCTACATCACCGAAATGGGCAACTCATTCAACTGTAAATGCCGAGACGTGGCCAAATTGTTTTGTTGAAAGAATGCACGAATTTGAAATATTGAACAACATTAAAAAGGAATCGAATACTAAAAATTCCAAAGGGGTACCACCAATAAATTTAGACGGCGACACTTGTTTTGATTTGTTTTGAATTCAGGGAAATTTTCGGAGATACACCTCCGAAACCAATAATTATGGGGTCATTTCGTGGATATAGCTCTGGAAAAAAGTTCGACAGAAAATGGTTGGTCCATATTCACCTAGGTTTTTTATAAATTTGGGGTTTCATTTGTTATCTTTCACACAAATACAAAAATGTCTCAATTGTGTGAAATCAAGATCCGTTGGTATGTCGCAAGTGTCTCCTTTTTCAACGACAAAACACCCAAGAGGATGTTCAAACTCATGGATCTCACGCCCTTCGCCGATATCATAAATGAGATCCAATATCGCCTACCTTACAATGACAAAAGAAATATTGTGAAGCTTGAGTATCGTTCACCTTCAGTTGATAACGAAGGGAACATTATTTACAACCAGTTTGAGCTCAATAATCAAGATGATGTTAGAGCGACGTGGCGAACGTATTTCAGTTTTGAAGAGAAAATTACGCTCGAGTTGGAGGCGACTGGCCGAAGAACAGCCGATGACATCTTAGAGATGTGCAAGCATCCACCGAGCTATTGAAATGTAATATTTAAATTTCTGTCGAAATCATCAATGTAACGCCGATTTTATTTTATGAATGTTGATTTTATCATTGCAATGTTGATTTTCTGGTATTCTGTTTCTGGTTTTCTTCCGTAAATACGCATACAGAAATATTCTGTAGATGCATCTACGAAATTAATTAAAAAAATCTGAAAAAATGTGCGTCCGAAGATACATCTTCGATATCGAAGGGTAGTTTAGGCAGAGCGCGTGGTGCTTAAGAAGGCCAAGGGGTGGGATAATAAATTCTCTCACATTAAGGTTTTTCAATAGTCCATTTTTTTAACAAAGAGGGCCAAAGGCCCAAAGAAAATACCAAACTACACACACCATCCTAATGGTGGGAACGCCTCTAGAATCCTCATCCAAGAGACCCAACAACCTATCAGGCGCCAAAAAGAAATAAATAATATTAGTGCATATGCTACAACCGACACTAACTAGAGCATCTGCACATTTATTCGTCTTTTTAAAAGAGTGAACCACATGCATTTCATTATGCTTTTGCATCAACTTCTGGATTTGGTTGATAAGCGTCAAACTTTCTCTCATGCTTGAAATTCTCTTATCAATTTTATCTATGAAGCCTTATAGTCCAATCCATTTAACATTTTTTAACATATATATATATATATATATATATATATATATATATATATATATATATATATATATATATATATATATATATATATATATATATATATATATATATATATATATATATATATATATATATATATATATATATATATATATATATATATATATATATATATATATATATATATATATATATATGTCAGCCTATAAAACTTCATAGACTTTTTTTAATAGTTTAAATATAACACTCAAATTTTAATAATTTATTTTTATATGAGTTTTAGTGTGGTTTTTAATTGATTATTTATTTTATATAATTTTATGAGGGTTGTTAGAAAATATTATATATTTTCATTTAATCAATTGAAATAATATAGAAAATAATGAACAAGTGAGTTTGAGAAGAAAAATAGAAAGTACTGGAAATTGGGGAAGTGAAGTGTATTATTAAGAAATTAGGCGAATTAGTGGAGTTATGAAAAACAAAAATAAAATAAGATTTATAGTCCAATCCATTTAACATTTTTTAATATATATATGTGTGTGTGTGTGTGTGTGTGTGTGTGTGTGTGTGTGTGTGTGTGTGTGTGTGTGTGTGTGTGTGTGTGTGTGTGTGTGTGTGTGTGTGTGTGTGTGTGTGTGTGTGTGTGTGTGTGTGTGTGTGTGTGTGTGTGTGTGTGTGTGTGTGTGTGTGTGTGTGTGTGTGTGTGTGTGTGTGTGTGTGTGTGTGTGTGTGTGTGTGTGTGTGTGTGTGTGTGTGTGTGTGTGTGTGTGTGTGTGTGTGTGTGTGTGTGTGTGTGTGTGTGTGTGTGTGTGTGTGTGTGTGTGTGTGTGTGTGTGTGTGTGTGTGTGTGTGTGTGTGTGTGTGTGTGTGTGTGTGTGTGTGTGTGTGTGTGTGTGTGTGTGTGTGTGTGTGTGTGTGTGTGTGTGTGTGTGTGTGTGTGTGTGTGTGTGTGTGTGTGTGTGTGTGTGTGTGTGTGTGTGTGTGTGTGTGTGTGTGTGTGTGTGTGTGTGTGTGTGTGTGTGTGTGTGTGTGTGTGTGTGTGTGTGTGTGTGTGTGTGTGTGTGTGTGTGTGTGTGTGTGTGTGTGTGTGTGTGTGTGTGTGTGTGTGTGTGTATATCAGCCTATAAAGCTTCGTAGACTTTTTTTAATAGCATAAATATAACAGTCAAATTTTAATAATTTATTTTTATATGAGTTTTAGTATGGTTTTTAATTGATTATTTATTTCATATAATTTTATGAGGGTGGTTAGAAAATATTATATATTTTCATTTAATCAATTGAAATAATATAGAAAATAATTAACAAGTGAGTTTGAGAAGAAAAATAGAAAGTACTGGGAATTGGGGAAGTGAAGTGTATTATTAAGAAATTAGGCGAATTAGTGGAGTTATGAAAAACAAAAATAAAATAAGATTTATTTAAATAGAAAAGAATGGAATAGAAAGGGACAATACGTGAAATTCGGAGAAAAGAGCAAGAAAGGAGAAAAAACCCTAGTAGAACAAGAGTGTGAAAAGGAAGTTTCCATTGTGAAGTTTAGAGTTTTTTAATGAATTCGATGTAAGGGTTACTGTTCATGATAAGGGTGCTTACTCTGGTAGGATAGAGGGGGATCCTTACCCCCCCTCCTTTCTTCTTCATTTTCTCCCTTGTCCTCCATTGTTAAGGGTTTGCGAATTGTGTGAGGTTTGTGAAAAATTTATAAATGTATGAGGATAGGAGTCAAAATTTATAAATGTGTAAAGTGAGTTATTTGATTTGATTGACAGTAAGGTGGTTCGTGACCTTGCCGGCTGTTGATGAATGTGGTGAATTGAGTTGTTATGTTAGGTTTATATGAACAAATGAGTTATGTTCTATGTTGATCTAATTTGTTCAAAATCGAGTCAGTGAGTACTGATGAGTATTTACCTAATTAATTATTATGCTCTCAACTGGTGAATATTGTTAAGTAAGGAAATGATTATGTATTTGTGAGTATTGTTGAGTAAGGTTGTGTTATAATTCTATATATTATGATAAGTTATCATTATATGTCATGATGAATTATGGTGAGGTATGTGGTTTGAAGAAGATTCTTTGGTGATGATTTATTGCATTTACATTGTTGTGGCATTTCATGCATCATGTATGTCAGAAATAGGTGTGCGGACTTCGGTCCATCGTGATGATTGGTGAGTGGATTAATCAGTAACATACCTCTGTTGTATAATATTAGTGAGTGGACCGATGAGTAATATAACTCTAACGAGTAATATAACTCTAACGTCCATAACTGGTGAGTGGGTTGGTACCACATGCATATTGAAATAGAAAAGAAAAGTACATTGCATTCATTCTTACATATGTGAATGATTAAGGTTGTGAGTGATTATTATTGTGTATGGTGATTGTTATGGGTGGATATTATGAATGATTATTTATGTTGATTGTACTACCCTTGATGTTTTATGCACCATCAAATTTTGTGAACGAACTTTCACCCCGGTTTGTTTTCTCGTGTTATTTTCACGTTTGTGATGCATATACTCAGGTAGGGACTGAGAATCCTTAACATTTGATTTTCTTAAAAGATGGAGTTAGCGACCTTCTTCGCATTTTACTGTTTATATCAGTGTTATTTAGATTTTCCAAGTGTCGCTCTGAATACTGTAACATTGAGACAGGATTTTCGTTGATGTTTATTTTGAGAATTGTTTAATTTCAAAACCATATGGTTACTTGAAGTTATTTTATGAATTTTCGAAGATTATTAGAGTATGTTAAACTTTTATAGATGAATTTAGTTGCTATACTAAAATGTTGAGAAAAGATGTTTTATAGAGAGAATTGTGACACCCTCGTGAGTGAATTCTTTAATTATAATTTTCGTGTATTTTATGAGTAAAGGGTTATAGTTGTTTAAGGTGTTACATAGTTGGTATCAGATCAGGTTGGTCCATTCAGCCTAGGTTGTGAACTAATTTATACCCTAGTGTGCGACATGTGTATGAACATTGTCGATGTTTGAGTTCAT